CAGACTCAGAATTAAAATCAAATGTAAATTACTGAAACATTCTAGAAATATTGGTATCCAAAAAAGGGAACAAGCATTTAGTATTTTACTGGAACAATCAACGAAATCATCTGTGAACAGGATACTTGATCTATCTATAATTTACGCAGTAAAAACAAGTGTGTCTGCAAAAAGTATCAGTATTAGGACACTCTCGATAAGATGGAAGTTCTCAAAAGTTCACTACTTAACTTGTTGAACAAATAACAGACTCATCACAGCCCAGTTACTTTATATCATATACTGTTCGAAAAACTAACCAGATATGATGAGACCAGTCATCTAGGTGTCAAAAAAACACAGACTGATTCAAATGGAATGCACTAACAGCTGAAATGGAACCCATCAGATAACAGCCAATCGGAATTAAGGTCTACAGAAGTTAACAAAGACCTATTTGTCAGTAAATGCTAAAAGTCGGTGTTGATTACACTAAGTATATAATCAATAAAGTTTTAAATAACCATCCCAACAGAGATTATTTCCTAGTGAATAACACTCACTTATGAACAAAAAGGTTTCACCTGCAAGAAATACATCGTATACACTCGAGGATCATAGGACTACAAACTGTTTGTATTGTTAAAGTTAATTGGAGAAAACTGACCAGCAGAAGGAGTCATGTGACCTCATATGTCAAAACGCGCATCACTTATTCACTTCAGGTTCAGTTCAGCTTTTTGATCACTTTCGTGTTGAGAAAAAAGTCGATCACACAATTCAAACCACTGTCACTTGTTCTATCATAAGTGTTGATTCAGCTCTGTAACTGTTATCATACAGAAAATTGATGAACAGAATTTATTCAACACATAGGAGTGAACAACACTGATTACTCTCCAGTAACGGTCAAATGTATCTAATCTAGTCTAGACGATTATCACCCATGACTAGAATTAGCCCAGTGTTGGTGTTTCCAACACTGCAGTACTCGATGAGGCTGGTTCTCTCCTCTGAGATAGCCATTCTCCTCTCGAAGTTCCACCAGGTAAGCTTTGTTGATACGTGCAACCAACAATTATTACACTTAGATTCAGTACCTACTGCCTAGAACTCTATCCAACATCAGACTAGTGAGTGTGCCTAGTCTTGGAAACAAATCCAATGAACAGTGAAGAAAATGAGACTTTTTCCTTCTGTTATAAAACGAATCAGTCATACAGTTGACATTTTGTCCAAATCTGATAAACAATGGTAATATCAGATTACTTTATTCCTCCTACAACATTGAGTGTCAAATCTTTTGCATGCATTTCATATACCATTCAGCTAGTTATTTTGTCAAATAAGTAATATAATATCAATGTATAAGAAACCCATTAAATCACTTTCATCAATACATATAACATCAGACAATCACACGATAAATAGCATAATTTTGAGGTAGTATTCACCGTAGACTGACATCAACTGGATAATCAGCGAAATCTTAGAAGCACTGGACACCAGTTTCATCCTAGCATGGGACTCCTCAGCAGTACGCACACACGATCCGGCTGGAGATCGAACGCAGGACCTAAAGGTTTTACGGAGAAGACGTTAACCATCCAGCCACTGCGTCAGAGTTCAGTGGTTCACAGTTTCTGACTTCTGTCAATTCGCTATGTAGCGCAATTATCGCCCAAGGTCCTCAGTTGTCATCCGCTTCCCTTCCTACTTGGAAGAGTCATCAGTGCGTACACTGGAGTTCTGTACTAGGACAAAATAGCCGTTCAATGCTCCCAGGTTTTAAATGGTTCCCCAACTGACGTCAGCTCACGATAATTGTTGCCTCAAAATTAAAAAACACCGTTCACCGTTCACCTTAAAAACATCATAACAACAATTCCACACAAAATGACAACTGATGAAATAGATGCCAACAATAAATTATTGATGAGACTGTAGTCTATTTGACGGCTAGCAGTGGAAATCAGGGCTCGTATTTCGTCCCATTTGAGATCCTTCAGCTAGATGTGCCTGCACTCTAGTGAATGATATTGTTCCCACTGAGACTTGAACACAGTACCCGTCACAACACCAAACGCCAAAGTGTTATCGACTAGATCACTAGGCAAGAAATCTCTATAAACCTAAAACTATATTTCTGTAGAGGGTTCATTAGTAACACGCTTGAAGATGGAAATCCCGAAGTTCTGATGAGAAGCCGTGACCTGTGGGGTCAACCAGTCGAAATTGAAGCGGATGCCAACTGAAGACCTTGGTGGATAGTCACGTTATGCAGAGAATTAACGACGGTGGGAAACCGTTGACCAGCGTCTGAATAGTTAACGCGCTCATCGTGAAACCTGAAGGTGATGAGTTTTACAGGTCTTTACTTCTAAGGAGTCCTATTCTAGGACGAAACACCTGTTCAGTGCCTCTAGGTTTTTATTCGTTCTCCAACTGCTGTCAATTCATGATGAATACTACCTTAATAAATAAGGCACTAAGTGGTATCCTGCTGATGAAAACACAACTAATCGCAATAAACAAACCGTTTTACCTAGCATCAACTACTCAAAACCAACAGACACAAGACATCTGTACTCCCATCAAAGACTGTGTGTTACCATAATCCAGCCTATACATTTTACAGGATTACATGTAAAACGTTTGGGTCATTGTTTTATGCATTTGTGCATTTGTCATATTGTTCACATTCCTAATAAATGTGAAATCTTATATTTTGCTGCAGAAACTAAAAGCATATAAGGAAAGGCTAGTTTTGCCTTAGCTTAACGTTTGAGCACGCAAAAAAACAAAAGCATACTTCTGAAGTTTAACAGTGTCTAAAAAGATCTTGAAGCCAAATACAGTGTACAATAAGCACTATCATTGCCTATGTACCCGAAATGCACTATTGAACTTTTGAAAGCCTTCTCAGTTGAACTAGGTGTTATAAAGCGTGTTTGTAATGGTGCAGGGGGGTTAAAGTTTCACTTCTTCGGCAGCGTTTGTATTTTACTAGCTTAATCATACCTAGGTATGTACTTTCTTGAATATTCAGCTGTGAAGTCAATAGGATTTCATTCTAGTTGGTTGGAGGTAATTGGGAGAAAGCCCTGATTAACCTAGGTTTCGTGCTTGTTGGTGCTCGTCAGCGCAGACTATCTGCAACTTCAAGAGAACTGATATCCCCTATGAGATTCGAATTTGAATCACCCAATGTTGTAGTCAGCGACGTTACCATTCAGTTATTCAAGCTCTTTTGTTTTCTGTTAGAAACCAGTCAAACAATATCAAAAAGTATGATCTCCGACACAAACATTTCAGCAAATAACAAAGGAAACTACTGAATAACAGTGGCCTTCGAGCTTCACAACCATTCCATCAGTCATTCATTTACTACTACTTCTATTGCCAGTATCTGGTATGTTGCCATGTAAGTTGTCTCTAACGTACTACATACTAGTCAAAGAAATATCCAACTTTTCTCATCTGGATACACGGTCGCTGGTTCGAACCCGGCCGCGGTCCGGATTTTCATCCCACCTTCAATCATCATCCAGTATAAACAAACGAACAAAACAGCACACTTGCTATACATTCAAGCCAATCGAAAACACCCAACTGGAATCGACTGAATTCACTAATGCATATATGAATTAATAGTTAATTATATCGTTAGTTGCGATACAGTTCACGTATATATTGATCTAAAGATAAGCAAATAAGCACAAAACAGAAATGAAACTACAACACTCTCGATAATATATTCATACATATGTCTGAGCATGTGTGTGACTCCTCAAGACCTTTATCTCCAGAATGTTATTAAAACAAAATATTATGTGATCCCCAAGTGTTGCATATGCATAATCAGCCAAGTAAACAGTGAATAGGTGATAAAAACGTTTTGATAACTGAAATACAACAAAATAATTCACTGTACGTGAAGCTTAGACTGTACTCAATCAAAAAAGACTGCGTTTAGTAAGTCCCTCTTCTAAAACCGGTAATACAACCTAGCAGTCTACGAGCGATGAGAACCTAACGCGTAAAAAGGTCTACTCTAATCGCTAGTCAGAACATCATCCACCACAATAATAGTACCACCGGCATACAAAGACAAGAAGAGAAAACGGACTGTTAACAGAGAGCTTTATTGTCGCAATAGTAGTCATAACAGTTGAGAGCGTTGCTGAATATATACATTCTAAACGACCTTGACAAACATTAAACTCACCGATAAGAGTTCAACTTTCGGAAAGAGTGGGAAAAACAAAAGCTAGTAACGGCACTAAGAGGCAAATACTTAACTAGCTGCCTATTGCACTACCTCGACTAATCCTTATCCAATGTAAAGACTTTATGAAATAAAAATCGGGTTCACAGCGGGATTTGAACTAATGGTGTCTGTGTTACTCATCAAGAGCATTATCAACTTTGAAATGCAAGACTCAGTGTTATATGAATAAATAAAAGGCCAACGTCTTTTCATAATCATCATTACACCAACCATTGAGTTGAATTTTCTCGAACAATCCTGAATACAGAAGAACTAAAAATGAAAGTGTGACCGGGTCAACAGATGGGTCTCATATTTCAGTTAGTAGAGTACCGATTCAGAAACAGACAGGAGAAAAAATCAGCGTGTTGCATATGACTGTAGGCTATGACCTTTGAATGCAGGTTAGTAGTAACCCCACATTTCTGAAATACTTTTGTGCATGAGGGACTAATGTGCCCTACACTCAAATATACGGTGACCTATAGAGTAATAGCAGACTTTTTGGAAGGGCATGACAAAACATATCAATAACCTAGAACAGCTTTCAAGTGTGGTTTGAGTTTAGTGGGAACAGCCGAGGGGATAGGAATCAGTAGGTAAGAACATTGTGGTACAAGCGCTTGAAACACTCAAGTTGCTTATTTTAAACAGGACAGCCTTCTACTATCCTGATATGTAAGGTAAACAAGAACAAGATTTATAAGCTGTGAAACTTGAATACAAGCACACTAAGCAGATGAGCACTTACCGTGTATATTCTTCTTGAAGCCATGCTGGATCAGGGACGTAAAACTTCACACGAAACCAGAAAGTGAAATTTGCCTCACCTTAATATAAGAGAAGAAAGAAATCAACAATAACAAAGACCATCATCTTCAGTTGAGAAAGAACCAAGCAACGAAAAAAATGTACTGGGTGGTGATTGAAGGTGAGATGAAAATCTGGACCGAGGCCGGATTCGAACCAGCGATCAGCGGCTTAAAATGAAGATTTCTATGAATATTAGATTTCAATCACAGCCGAGATGTAATCATACCAGTAACCCATCTTATCTCATTGATGTAAAACCCAGGACGTGCGTTTCGTCTTATTTGGGACTCGTCAGCCGGACGTACTTTTATTCCAGTAAGTGATGTTGTCCCCGCAACAGCCTATATGTAAATAGGGGCTGATTGATTCAGTCTAATCAGCGATGAGGGATTATAATCTGTAACATAAAAACGTACTTTATTCAAGTATCCATTTGGCAGAATCTTGTAGTGAATATTGACAACTAAAAAAGCCAATATTAAAAGGACAGTAGACAAGCTCCACTGAAAATGATGTAATTATCTGCAGTGCAACATAATATCACTAAACAGTCAATAAAGTAATAGATAATCTTGAATAGTTTCTACAACAGAATTCTTATCATTACTTTAAAAGCAATAAACCAAAGCGAAGCACAGGTAGGTTTATGTAGAGAGCTTAAAATGAGAAACTAGGTCTTGAGGGAAGTGAGAACCCATTGAATAACGGGTGTAAGTGAAAATACCTACTACTCAAGCAGAAAGAATTCAACATGGTATTATTACAAATGATAACCACTGAGCGATCTACTATGGGACTATTCAGCAGTTCACAGCCATCAACGATAGAACCCAGGACGTCTGACATCTGCAGGGAACGCGTTACAGCTAAGCCAATGGAATGGAGTCATTCCGCAATATCGATCGACCTTCATCATATGCAGTCTTTGAGTATTTGTCTTCACGTCCGACATGGTTGGCCCCATCGGTCACCACATTTCGTTAGAACTTCGAAAAATCGCATATTGAAATCAGTGACTGATGAGCATTCGAGTAATTCAATTTTAACGTTTATGGCGATTTATTGATCTCGAGTTTGTATTCAGCATGGACTGACATCAAATGGAGAATCACCGAAATCCTGGGAGCAGTGGACAGTTGTTTCGTGCAATAATGAGACTACTCAGCAGTGCGCACCTGAGATCCACTACTGGGTAATTCCATACTAGAACGAAATGGCTGTCCAGTGCTCCCAGGTTTTCAACGGTTCTCCAACTGATATTAATACATGATGAATGCTGACTTGAAATTCGTTTACACACTTCAGGATGGAACTTTGACTTGACAGAGATGAAGGAGAAATTTCTACGAAGTCACGAAACGTTAGAAATTTATTTTTCTACTTCATTGAGATTTTAAAAATGTATATTACTTGAAATTCTTTGTGTCTTTATTTCCTTCCCAAGTGGGGATTACAAAGTAGCATATTTTCTTAAAAACCCTACCTCACTCTTATTTCTCAAATGAATAGTAAGAAATGTATACCATATTAGTTTAAAGAAGGCATCAGTGCTAAGTTTTATTTGCTAATACTTTTTAATCAATTTGTTAATGGCATGACAGATTCAGACGCTGAACTATGGCGTAAAAAAAATTCAGCTGAGACGAATAGTCAAAATGAAAGGTCACCGAAGAGTTTTTGTGGAACAAACCGTTCAAAGTCATCTAAAGTGAACTAGACTCCCACCATAGTGTCATATCACTTTGCCTAATAGTCAGATTGCAAAACTTCAAGACTTCAATCAGTGCTAAGCACTAAAACTTACCCACTGGTGTCCTGAAAGGGGTCGGTCATAACATCAGCAGGTTAGTGGTTCGGTTCCTGACTTCAATACTGAGTGACAAAGGTTCGATTCACTAAGGGACCACCAGTTTTCTCATGATTGCAGTACGCCTTGCTGACGAGTGCCAACAAGCACGAAACCTATCGATTGCTTTACACCATTTAACACCGAAATGAACTAGACTGTCAGACTTACATATCTAACATCATAATTCCTGTTTCACTCAATATTCGTTGAAACAAACATCTTCATATTTGAAGACGCAGCAGTCTGGAATTAAGTTCTCTGTATACATATTTAAAGCTTTTATATGGGGTCGCAGATATATCTTGTTTACGAGTGCCAACAAGCACCAAACCTAGGTAGAGCAGGGTTTCCTGCCTATAGCCTCCAACCAACTAACATCCATCAGAAAATGCACCACGATGATGAGCCTCCTGGCTCGATGACCACATTGTAACAATGATCAACAGAATTCGGCCGCCACTCAGGACCAAACAACATGAGATTGGTTGCTGTCCAATGACCAGCCAGTATGTGTAATCCAGTCCTATCGGAGGTCAGTCGCGTCCAGAATTGCCGCCTCGAACCAACTTACATCCATACGAAATATCACTCAAAATGAGACAGAACAACTAAACATAAATTGAGTTTAGTGAGGATGGATTGTTACAGGTAATCTGATGTATTACACTAGTTCTGAATCTCAAGAAGCAATATTTAGAATGTGATGTTGTTAGTGAAACTACCCCAATAAGCAGACGAAAACTGCTTTTACACATTAAAGAGCCTTTTGAACTATTATTAGACAGCTGAGTGGTAGGAAGAACAACGTTAATCCTTCGAGGGGATGAGATTTCGTGAAATCTAAACTTTTGTAAACTTTTAGAAACTTCCTCAAATGATTTCATGTCGACTGGCGCTTAACCCGTAACACAAAAATACAGTGCACTACAACATCCTATTGGGCAAAGATGCTGACGAAACGTAGCATCTTGTGAGCGCCTTGAGCAAAAGGTGAGTGTATTAATGACATGTGATTTGCACCCGATAGATGTAAGACATCGCTTAAGGAATGGTGGACATCGATTCTTAGTTCAAAGATCGAGTGTGAAGTGATGGAACTGAACTTACTTGGAAGGCTAGATTGACCGTAGTGCATCGAATGTAAAATGCTCTTTCGATACTCACCAATTTAGGCCACTTGTGGCACAGCTGAAATATGCTGCTTCACATCAAAGACTGAATATACCGAACATAAGTTAGCTATTTTCACACTTCTTTTGTAAGAAACGGCTATTGAAAGTAGATGGCATAAGGAGACTAAAGTCTTATAACCATAGGTCTGCTGGAACAATTATATCACTAGTGTAGAGGCTGGGTGTACAGCACTAGACAATGTAGCCTATTCAGCGAATGACGATGTAAACATTCAGCTGACCGAGGTGGTTTAGAAATATGGTCGGCATGTAAAGCCCTATCTACTCCAAAAACACTCTATTGTCTCATGTAAGGTTTGGTGAGAGGAAATTTAAAGATGGCCAATCCAAGACATGATACCAACCAATTTCGGTTTCAGTCATGCATAGGAATTTCGACTATCTGGCTATGATTATCATATGATAAGGACCTGGGGTTGCGGACTCTTGGTGATATGTTTCAAAGTCAGTCACGATGATGCAGATGTACACACTCTCTGTCATCTCCGAAATTTTAGACATTTTTAGAAATCTTTATTCATATTGCTCGGTCACCGGAGGGTAACCAATTTCATGTTGTCTAGTCCTAAGTTCTGACCGAATACTATCGAACATTTTGCAGTGTAACTACCAAGCTCAGGGACTCACCATCATGGTTTACTATGATAGATGTTAGTTGGACGGAGTCAATCAGCAAGAAGCCCTGAACCAGACGACACCAAATTGGTTATCCTTCAATGACCAATCAGTGTACCTAATCTGGTCCTATGGTAAATGAATCATAGAGCGAATACCTAAGTGGTAACGTTTCTCAGGTAGGTTGAAATCTCAGACGGGATATCAGTTCTGTCGACTTTTCAGACATGTTTTACCGATGTGAGCCAGAAAGCAGGCAAAATACAGCAAGCAGAGCTATCTACTGAACGCACCCATCCAACTATCCTTTATTTATTTATTCCCTTCACTATCATACACTGCGTACTTCAATATATCCAGCTGCATTCTGTCCACTACTTCGTTATAGGCTGTTTAAACTTTTGGCAACTAGAACCGATGAACTTCTATGCTGTAAGGTCCTACTATGATTCCTCTTTATGTCAAGTCTCCATTGCAATTTCGTATCGTGCATTACAACACTGACCAATGGACTTTGATCAGGACTTATGGATTGACAGTTACATTTGCTGTCTTTCACATTATCGAATGTGTGGAAATTTATCAGTAACCGCTTTCTTTGAAGGAGAATAACGTTCCTTTAATGGTGCATTTTTGCGAAATAATAAGAAAAAAAGTTGTAAAGTAAGGTAAATCCCACTAATTTAGGCTGCTTCCAATTTCAAAAAAAATGAGAACCGGCTCTACAAGTTTACTTTGCGTCAGAATGAAGTGTGGGATAAACTAAACACACTGATCCCTTCAAGTTATCTCATAGGTATCGAATTTCACTGTGGTTTTAGTACAAAAGTTATCTAATCATGGTATCGCTTTTTATATGCATCAACATCATCTAAATAGTTATATGAAAGCTAAGTAAAAGGCATCAGAAAGACTGTAGAGTTTATTGGATATCTCACCAAGTTTAGGAACAATTATTTACCTTCCAATAATAAAAAAGGTGTACTGCAGTTTACTAAAGCAAATTATTCAAGTCTGCAGAACAGTCGTTGACTGAAAGCTAACCAACTCACGTTTACTTGTGTATGTATGCAGTTACACATATTTTGTAGGCACAGAGTGACTGGGGGCACTCAAAACCTCCTAGTAGCGTCTAAAGTATGCATACAGTAGATATGGATTTTATGGTGAATATAAACACGGTCACTCATACGATTTTTAGGCAAATCCATTTTAGATTTTTGTATATTCATCGTCTAAACTTTAATTAGCCTGAACAAAAAGGAGTGCATGATTCAGTTAACTCTTCACCTCAACTTCATCGACTTTGAAAACGTCTTCGATAGCGTCGACCAAGAGGTAATTTGGCAGGCAGTTGCCT